CCGCCCCCTTGGCGCACGGGGCGCGCCAGGGGGGGGGGGGTTCAGCGCAGGTCCAAGAAATCCGCACGGGCCTCCCAAAGTTTCCGTTTATGCCGCGGTTCCCTCGTCTATATTTAAGGCGGGCGTGTCCCTCTGCAGGAGGAATGTGTTCAAGAATGTTCAGACAATAGTCAGGGGACGATTCTTCGTGCTCCTTTGGTTATCTTTGGATAGGTTTTTTGTGTTATATATATATTGTGTTTATATTTTCCTTCTAAAACCCGCCTGTAGGGGGACGTGCCCGACATGAGGCCATATCCTGCGGTCGGGAACCTGCGCTCGGCGGGTCGCTCCGCCAGTGCTGGCCCACCGCGCTGCGGGGCGGCACGCCGACCGCGCCCCCATACTCCAGGCATCCACGTCCCGAGCTCTTCCCGGCCTCCCGCCCCGCGGAGCGGAGCGTCCAGGAAGGGGGCGGCAACCAGGTCGGGGCAGGTACGGATCCCTTGCTCCTCCTTCCCTTTTTTTTTGTTCGTGGTGTTTTTTCTGTTTCTATCATCTCGGTTGTGGTATTGCTTTTGGTTTATTATGGTTCGTATGTTCTTGTTTGTTTGTGTGTTTGTTTTTGTTTGTTTGTTGATATCGTTGTTGTTCTTCTTGCTGCCATTGTAGTTGTTGTCGCTGTTGCTGTTGCTGTTGCGGCTGCTGATGTTGTTGTTGTTGTTGTTGTTGTTGTTGTTGTTGTTGTTGAATTCTCATATCGAACGAATACTTATTGTTGATCCCTCCTGCCGGGTAACCAGTGTATATTATATTAAAAGGCTTCTCCTGGGGCTCGCACCTGTTTTTTTTCAAAGTAAAGTGTGATATTACCAAGCGCCCCCCGGTTTACGGCAACAACGGCTCCCGCCTGATACTTCCTTTCAATGTATTCCCAAATCGCGCTCTCGCGCGGGACGTTCTCACAATTTATGCAGGAATCGCGCTCTCGCGTGGGACTTCTTCGCAATTTATTCAAACGCCGCACTTTTGACACTCAGGAATCACGCTCTCGCTGTGGAATTCCTCACGATTTACTTGGGAATCGCGCTATCGCTCGAGACTTCCTCGCTATCCATGCGGGGCGCACGCTTCAGCAACCCGCCTGCTCGACTTGGCCGCCTGGGCTCGACTTCCCGACCCGCCCGTTAGGGTCTACCTGCCCGATTTGCCCGTCTGGTTCTGCCACGTGTTTTCTGCTCCTAGCCCCCCTTCCTGCTATTCACTCTCGTGCGCCATCCTCTTCCCTCCCCCTTTTGTCCCTTCCTTCCATCCGTCCTCCCTTCCCCTGCCTTAGAGGCTGCACGCAATACACGTTGCAGGTAATTTTTACATATATAGATATACACATACATATATATATATATATGTACCCAAAGAGGTACGATCGAAGACGAAGAGGGCGGGTATCCAGGGTTTGGGAAACACATGCTGGTTGACGCGCGCGCTCTTGAGAGCTAAGAGTCTTAACATGATTGTTGTTGTTGTTGTTGAACTCTCATTTGTATACCAGTATTGTTGATCCCCCTCCTGTAACCACTTTTCTATGTTTCGATTAAAGTGCTCCCCCCCAGAACTGGCTCCTTGTTGCTGAAAGTGGAAAGCGAGGGGCCACCAATTTGCGCCCTTGGCCCCGACATACAAAAAAAAACAGCGGCTCCCGCTTTATTTCCTGACAAGTTATTGAGAAATCGCGCTCTCGCGCGGGAGGTCCTTACAATTTGTGCAGGGATCGCGCTCTCGCGTGGGACTTCCTCGCAATGTATTCAAACGCCGCACTTTTGACGCTCAGGCATCACGCTCTCGCTGTGGATTTCCTCACGATTTACTTGGGAATCGCGCTATCGCTCGAGACTTCCTCGCTATTCATGCAACCCGCCTGCTCGACCTGGCCGCCTGGGCTCGCCTTCCCGGCCCGCCCGTTAGGGTCCACCTGCCCGATTTGCCCGTCTGGTTCTGCCACGGGTTTTCTGCTCCTAGCCCCCCTTCCTGCTATTCGCTCCCGTGCTCCATCCTCCTCCCTCCCCTTTTGTCCCTTCCTTCCATCCGTCCTCCCTTCCCGTGCCGTGGGGGCAGCAAAACATACCCGTCGCTGGTAGGAAAGGTATACCCCAGAGGAGGTATGATCGAAGACGAAGAGGGCGGGTATCATTAAACGGCACTCGAGCAGATAGCAGCGAACAGTCTTACAAACAAAGATTGTGGTGGTTGTTGTTGTGTTGTTGTTGTTGCTGCTGTTGTTGTGCTGCTGTTGATGTTGGTGATGTTGTTGTTGCAGTTGTTGTTGTTGCTTTGGTTATTTGAATGCTGTTGTTGTTGTTGTTGTTGCTGTTGTTCTTGCTGTTGTTGTTGTTGTTGTTGTTGTTGTTGTTGTTGTTGTTGTTGTTGTTGTTGTTGTTCGTGTGGTTGTTGTAGTTGATGTTGTGGTTGTTGGTGATATTGTTGTTGTCGCTGCTGCTGTTATTGTTGATGATGGTTTTGAGTTTTCATTTCTACATTTTAGTTGTGGCTGTTTCGATTCAAATGCTTTTCCCGGGGCTCGCACCTGGTTTTGTACCAAACTGCGCCCCTGGCCCGAGACTTACAAAAACAAAGGCTCCCGCCTGATACCTCCTCACAATGTATACAGGAATCGCGCTCTCGCGTGGGACTTCCTGCAATTTATCCAAACGCCGCGCCCACGACACTCAGGAATCACGCTCTCGCTGTGAATTTCCTAGAGACTTCTTTGGGGATCGCGCTATCGCTCGAGCCTTTTGTGATTCATGCAGGACACACGCTTCGGCAACCCGCCTGCCCCTTTTCCCTTCCTTCCGTCCTTCCTCTCTCCCTTGCCTTCGGGGCTGCACGACATACCTTTGCAGGTAAGAAAGATATACCCTAAGGGTGTACGATCGAAGTCGAAGAAGGTGGGTATCGAGGGTTTGGGATATACGTGTTGGATGGAACGCGATCATATAACAGCGAACAGTCCTAACGTGATGGTTGTTGTTTTTGCCGCTGCTGCTGTTCTTGTTGTTGTGGTGGTTGAATTTCCATTCCTAAAGATTAACTACTGATGATCCCCCCTGCCCGGTAATCATCATATTTCTTCAATTCAAGTGCTTCTCCCAGGGCTCGCACCCTGTTCTTTATAAGGGAAAGTGAGGTGTCACCAAACAATGCCCCTGGCCCCCCGACTTACAACAACAACGGTTCCCGCCTGACACTTCCTCACAAATTCTTCCCAGATCGCGTTCTCGCGCGGGACTTCCTGACAAGTTATGCAGAAATCGCGCTCTCGTTATTCAGACGTCGCGCCTTCGACGCTCAGGAATCACGTTCTCGCTGTGGATTTCCTGACAATCTATTTTGGAATCGCGCCATCGCTCGAGACTTCTTCCTCGCGATTCATGCAGGACGCACGCTTTAGCAACTAGCCTGCACCTTGTCCCTTCCTTGCATCCGTCCTCTCTTCCCTTGCCTTAGGGGCTGCATGAACAATACGTTGCAGGTGACAAGGATTTTCCCCTAATGGGGATAACGTCGAAGACGAAGAGGGCGGGTACCGAGGGTTGGGATATACGTGTTGCATGGCATTCGGGCAGATAGCAGCATGCAGACTTGCAATGCTTGTTGTTGCTGTTGTTGTCGTTGTTGTATTCTCATGCCGAAAGAAAAGTATGGTTGACCCTCCCTGCCCGGTAACCGTTCTATCTCTTCAATTCAAGTGCTTCTCCCGGGGCCCGCACCCTGTTGTTTAACAGGGAAAGCTTGGTGTCACTTGCAAATTGCGCCCTTGGCCCCGACTTACAACAACAACGGTTCTCGCCTGATACTTCCTTGCAATGTATTGAGAAATCGCGCTCTCGCGCGGGACGTCCTTACAAGTTATGCAGGAATCGCGCTTCCGCGTGGGACTTCTTCGCAATTTTTCAGACGCTGCGCCCTCGACGCTCAGCAATCACGCTCTCGCTTTCTGGCCTTTCTCAGGATTTGTTTGGGAATCGCGCTATTGCTCGAGCTCTCTTCTCGATTCATGCAGTACGCACGCTTCAGCAACACGCCTTCTCGACATGACCGCTTGGTTTTGTCCATGCTGTCCTGTTCTCTATGTTCTGGCTGGGGCCTGGTGCGTTATCGAACGTCTGGAGTGACACGATCCCGATGTTCGGGATGATTGTACGAAGGCTCCGACGGCTAGGGTTTGGGCTCCCGCAGACGGTGGCATACCAGCTGCAGTTGTGCCCAGTGACGAAGCAGTTTCGGAAAGCTTACAACGAGGCGTTGCAGGTGATCACGGCCGGCCCTCGTCATGCCTTCTCCATAGAAGTGCTAACTGGACTACGGGCCGTTGGAGCTTCCCTGGAGGCTTTGGATATTGATTGTTTCTCGCAGGTCATTAAATTTCGGGTCCCGATGTCGTGTTCGAGTCAGCATGTATTCAGTATGAGATTGAGGCTCTAACGGTTTCTCTGGAAGACTATGCGCTTATCTCCTCGCGGACCACGTGGCCTTGGTGGAGATAGTTTTTCTGATCAGGACGACGGTGGACGAAGTAGGCAGCTTATCGGTACCCACTCTCACACCCATCCCCAGGAAACAGTAAACATTGAATCGGTTGGAAGCCTTCTGTGACTCCATGATGCCTCTCCGTACCCTGGCCCAGAGAGTGCCCAACTGGGTGTGGCCTGGCCGTTGTTGGTGTTGTTGTTGTTGCTGTTGCTCTTGCTGTTGTTGTTGTTGTCGTCGTCGTCGTCGTTGTCGTTGTCGTTGTCGTCGTTGTTGTTGTTGTTGTTGTTGTTGTTGTTGTTGTTGTTGTTGTTGTTGTTGTTGTTGTCGTTGTTTTGTTTGTTTTTGTTCGCCCCCCCGTCAGGTGCTGGCCAGGAGGATGTGGCGAGTAGAGAAAGACAGCGCGATGCACCTCGCGACAGGTGTCGTCAAGCTACCGTATCGGGGAGTGTGCACATCGAACCGTTTTCGCACCACTCTGCGATGTTGCG